GCTGTGAACGTTTGAAGAAAAGCACATAAACAGTAAATAACATGCTGTTTACAAAGCAAGTAGACTGGCTGTACTTAAATACACAAACTGGAGTCCTGTAAAGATGAGCAAAAGTTTTTAAATTAGTACTGACAGAAATTTCCATAAGATTTAGAAGAGAATAGATGTGTGATTACCCTGCAGGACTCATTGCCAGTAGATATCATCAGCACAACGTATCTGTTCTTATAAAGGGATCTATTCACATAGATCTTCAGAGCACTCAGTGTTAGATTTCTGAGGATGAAGAAGAAATTAAGACAAATTTAGATATTAACCCTTCTGCTCCTAATCAGAAGACCATCTTTTTAATGAGGAACTGCAAAACTTATTACCTTTAGGCAGATTATTTTACAAAGAACACCTTGCCTTTCCTGGTAGTAGCCAGTGCCAAAGACAACTCTAGTGTGACGAAACTCTGCCTTGACTGACAGAGCAATTCCAACACTTGCAAAGGTTTTATTTCGCTACCACACTGAGACAGTCACAGGTATCACAACGTGCCACGGAGCACAGGGATGCGTGCTCTGACCCTGCATGGAACACAGACATGACCAGACCCCGTCTCACGGGGCGGGAGGAGGGTGTGCAGCAGCTGCATGGCTGCAGCAAGGTGGTTTCAAGAGGGAGCATATATGGCACAATTGGAAACAGAGGGGGAGGAAGAAACTGGAGGAGGACTGATGGAAACACATCTCCTTCTTCAGTGCATGATTTGTATCTGGAGTCTACCTGCTGGTGTCTGCTCTTACTGCCTTATGTGACGTCGGTGGTTGTGTTTCTCAGTGAAGAGTTTCCAATATTATTACATTTGTTAGGTCAGCCTGTTCCTGTCATTGTCAAGTCCCCTGGCAAGACGTAGCACGTTCTTTTTGTTTCATCAGTTTGACATAGTCACCTCTTATAGAACTAAGAAATTGTTTGCTTTAGATGCAGTGTGATTTAATAAGGAACCATGGGAAAGGATTTCTTTGAACAAGCAGGTAATGACAGATTGATCTGGGAAATATGCACTTTCTTCTGTCATGACACTATTCTGTTGCTGAGAAGATAAAGCTGATGTTAACTATTTGCCCTAGCCTGATGTCAGCTGCCCTCAGTAATCTGAATGATTTAAATAATAATAATCTAAGAATGGCACCACTCTTCTGCTAGAAATAATAATTATATAATTTGTAGAATTCATAGATTTTTAAAGTAATATTTTCAGTTGTGTGTTATTAATCTTTTCTAAACATGTGAAGATAATTTGTTTACATTTGGAGATATTCTGCACTAATTACAAAGGAAACATGAATAATACTAGTTGTTTCTCAGTGGTAACTTAAATGGGAAATACAGATAGAATCATAGAAAAACAAACATTAAGTGCTTTTCTGTGTGCTGCTGATTTGGTATAGGTATCTAAGGATCTGTATGTACGATTCTGCTTCAAGAAAGATGGCCAGTCTGGATTTATATTTGATTTTTTAAATGAAAATCTGAACCAAAATCTGAGTATCTTGTGAAATTTACATACATGTTTCCATAAGTAGATTTTCTGAAATGAAAATAAAGATGCTGTTATTTCTTGAGGGCCAGA